ATCCTCAGAGTGGCCAATCCTAAGACCTGGAATGGAGCTGGAGAGTCTGGCTCCTGAGCACAGCAGGTACCACGAGAGTGTGCAGACCAGTCCACACTGTTAGAGCTGAGAGTCACCACCCTGAACTCTACCCCAACCTTGTGTGTTTCAGAAGAACGAACGCATTTGCTCAACAATTTCTTAAAACCATTCCTTAATCTACTTCAAAGTTCCCGAAAGTAATCATGCTCCCAGGGCACACAAAGGGCTTACTGCAGTCGGTACAATTAGCTTCACCAAACGTCAAGCAAATCACACTTGTCCATATACACTGCGATGTTTTTTGCTGACCTTAAAGCCCACTTGATAAACTGCCACCTGGGCATTGTGATCCCTTGAAATGATCTTGGTGGGAAAACCCAACTTGGTTAGACTTAATCAATTTAATTAACTCCCGTTCACAGCCTGGATTTGCTGTTCTCTCTCAGGTCCAACTATGAGCCTTCCAATGACTGGGAAGTCTAAAGAGAGTAGATGCTTCGACATCTACCTTGCTGAGAATCTATAAATGAATCACTGCTACTGGACTGCAGTGACCTGGGTTGGAGTCCCAGGTACGTCACCAATCACTGTGCGACTCTGCCAATACGTCTTCCTGCACGGCCTAAATGAGTGGGTTGGACAGGAAACGTTTTAAGTCTCTCCCGGCTATGAAGTTTCAATTCATAATTTAACTGTTGTCACTTTCTATTCCAGTTTAGATGAAAGAGCATTAGATGTAATTAGATATAGGTTTCCATATTAGCGATAGCAGCCTTAGAATTTCTCTGTTAAATGTACAATATGACATGGGGCCCTATTAAATTAAACTGGCGTTTCCTCATGTTCCATCTGCTAAAAAATGTACTGTTTGTGTTTCAGACAACAGAGAGGCCAAAGAACAACAGATTTCCTTGGCACTTTCTGTACATATCACATGTACATCAGTACGGTGCTATCCCTAGAAAACGCTGCAAATAATAGCCGTCGATTCTCAGCAACTAACCGCACGCTGCTGAAAGCAAACACAACCTCTCATCTATAAGTTCCATCTCATAACATGTTTCTTTTGGGTGTCTGTGTTCCCATACGTATAGCTCCACCATATTTTTGCTGCAGAATACAAAAATTAACATTGATGACTATAATCCACACATACTCTCAAAACCTTCTGTTAGTCACATGTTCCATCTCTCCCACTGTTAAGCTTTTAGCCAGAGATGCTAACAAGTAACACAGTCACCTGCTTTAGCTTCACACACTTTCCAGACACACTTGCTTTTTAATGGTCCATAAAACAAGGGATTTATTTCTCTTGATTCTAAGTCTTTGAGAAGTTGACCAATAGGCATGAAATGCTCAGTCTCTGCTGCTAGTTAATATATTCCTTTTAAATTGTTGTTTGTGGGCCGGTGGCTCACACCCGTAATTCTAGCATTCTGGGAGGTCAAAGAGGGCAAGAGAGAGACCTGTATCTACTCAAAATAGAAAAAACGAGCCGGCATAGTGGCAGGTGCCTGTAATCCCAGCTACTCTGGAGGCTGAGCCAGGAGGATCGCTTGAGCCCAGGAATTTGAGGTTGCTGTGAATTCAGCTGAGGCTTATGACACTAGCTCTGGGGACACAGCCAAACTGCCTTTCAAAGAAAAAAAAGAGAGAAAATTCAGAGAGAAGCTAAGTGACTTGCCTAAAATGACACAGCTAACTAAATACAGTGATGCTCTTATAGATACAATTACGCGTTATCAGCAGGGATGGTTCTTTTCATAATCGAGAACAGCCCCATGAAGTCTGCTCCCCAAACCCAAAGTGCAAGTAGCCACAGCAGCAAAATCCCACCTCTCAAGTCCTTCCTTTAGATCAAAGAATTTCTGAGTTAAATGCAATTGTTTATCCAGGAAATTGGGAGGGAGTAAGAAAGGAGACTAAGGTGGGCATGTAAAGAATTACATGTTGCAGAATCAAAATGACTCTTGGAATCATCCATCCAAGTCACCTGCAGAGTCCAGTGTGTCTTTATTCACTGGGGACAGACCAATGTCTTAGTCCGTCTGACACAGCCAGGCTCTCCATTAGCAACAGAACGGACCAGCCCCTTCTGTTTATTATCAGATGAAGCAGCTGGCTAGAAGTAAACGAATAGGTTGTTCCAATAGTCTATCTTTAAATATTGGACAAGCCCTCAGTGAGGGCAAGATGCTCACTTTTAAAGAGCACTCAGGAAATACACAGAAAACTAGCATTTGGTCTCCCGACCTGTCCTCACCTGTCATTCCCCTTCCACTCCCTTCTTGATTTTGCCCGGAAGCACAGGTGAATCTTTAATGTGCATCTGACCAGCTCCACTCTGTTGCCTCATCCCCATGTTTGTGTGCTGCTGTTAGTATCTGAGTTAGACCCCAGATGTGTGATACCACAGGGCCGGGCAGACACAGCAAAGTCGTAAAGTGGCCTGAAGCCTCCTGGGTGTGTGTAGGGAGGACAGCTGAATGAAATAGAGAGGTCACCTATGGGTGAGAATTAGCTCCAAAAATTATTTTCACGTGTTCATAATTTCTCCCTGGGTTGGATTTGATAGACACATTGCAACACATCTCATTTGACTCTTAATCCATGTGGAGACCCCCACACAGTCCAGGGTACAAGTACTGCCCAGCTGCAGAATGCAGACACTCCAAGAAATTCATCAAGAGAATCTTTTTCAAATAAGGACTTGATCGATCGTGGACAAATGACCTTAGAGCAGAGATAACTAAACCCGCACTTGGAAATGCATTTGCCAATTCATGCTCCAGGCGGCAGAGAAAGGAGCCTGCCACCCCTCCAAGACCTGCCACAAAGAGCCACGTGGAGGAACGGCAGAGAGACGGTGAGTGTGAACGGGAGGGCTTCAACCCTGAACCAAAGGTTTTAGGCTGTGCTGGGGTCATGGTGAAAAGAAAGGTCACCCTCATCATAAAGTTGACCTGGCTCTGAGGAAATAATTACCTCTCTGCTAACAGAACTTCCATATCAGCTTAACATGTTCCTGTAAGTAGGAATTATCTTAACTCCAGGCACATAAAAATCTGTGTTTCCTGAATGATGTTTAGCTTAACTCCATGATGGGGGTCAGCCTGGAGGGAGCTAAGCCCCGGAGTTTGCAGACCATGTGTGCCACCATGGCCAGCGGGAGGTGGTCAGATTCCCAGATTCCCACACGGGTCCTCCCACAGGACGCCAGGCTTTTCACAACTTCACCACACAAAAGAACACTGTGGCTGCCCCTGCCCTGCCCAGTACAAGACCAGTAATGCCTTTCCCAGCAGCCCTTCCATGAGATTGTACAGAGACAAACACAGGTGTCTCCACAGCCATCTTCATGAACTTTGTACGGAATATACCACAGAACAGTGGCCTCCCCGCGGCTCCACCCAGCCCCTCCCAGACAGCTGCCCCCGAGAGACCGTGAGAGAGGACAAACCCCACAAACACATTTATTAAACACGTCACCAGCAAAACAAAATACTTGTATTGGAGGGGAAAAAGTTATTTTTTAAAAACAGGCACTTAAAATAAAATTGACTAATCAGCCTTAATTAGGTTTCCTTTATTAGTGGACAGCATAAATGGGCTGGAACCGCTACTCAAATATTCAAACCTCCCAGCAAATGATAAAACGATATTCCCATGTGAGCGTGAAAGATGGCACTGAATTCTGGCCCACGATGAAGGAGGCGTCAGATTCCACTAGTCACTGTTGGTTGAACTGCCAGGCTTTGGGGGAGCTATTTTATAAAAGGGAGACTCTTCCTAATAAATTATTAGTGAGCATGTGACTGTCTGAATAGCCTGCTCTATGCGCGGCTGGAGATCACTTTACAAAAGACTCCGGAAAAAAAAAATGTTGTGACAATGGCATCGATCACAGCATCCTGGCGACGGTGGTGAGTGGACAGGACCCACCAGCGCCGCCGGCCTCGCCGCGCAGACTGCCGGCCACGGCGACCACGTTACAGCCGGCGCCGTCCCTGCTGGAGGTGCGGTCTGGCGGGGGAAGCCACCCGGCTTCCTGACCCCTGTGGGCTTGACGGGACCGAGACAGGAACTGGGCACTGCCCGTGGGAAGCCCCGGGGGCTCAGCCAGGGCTCGGCGGTCCCTCCCCGCCCTGCTCCGGCGCAGACGCCAAGTTGGAGGCGCAACTCCGCGAGCACAATGACGAGAAGGCGGCAACAAAAGGGGCCGCGGCCGCCCCCACCCTTACCTTTCACTTGACTTTCATACTCGGCGATGATCTCTTTGTCCTTTTTGAATCTGCTCGGGGTGGACATTATCCAGCTGCTCCGGGTTTGCTCTCCGTGCACAAGTTCTGTTCGGTGGTCACAAGCCGGTCTCCTTGGAGAGGCAGAGTTGTACTCCCACACGCCGGGAACCGGAGGCGGCACCGACCGGAGGGGAAGGCGGGGGCCGAGGGGGAGGAGGAGGAGGGAGGCGGGGAGGAGCGAGCCGAGGACTAGCCTAACCCAGGCGCCGGCACCATGCTCCCGATCGAGGCGCCGTCGGCGATCAGAGGGCAGCGGGGGTCGGGGCCACGAGAGGCCGGCTCGCCGCGAACTCTGGCGGGCGGGCGCGGGGCGTCTCCCTGTCCACTCCTACGGCCGCGGGGCGCGGGGCGTCTCCCTGTCCACCCCTACGGCCGCGGAGCGGGCGCGGGGCTGGCGCCTGGGCCGCACACCATTGTCCGAGACCCGCACGGGGCGCAGGCAGGGCGGGCCGAGGCGGGCAGGCGCCGGGGACGTGCCCAGCCGGGGCCTCGCGACCCTCCCTTCCTGCCGCCCGCCCGGCGCTCGCTGGTCCGCAGGCTAGGGACGCCGCTGCCGCGGCCCCGGCAGGCAGAGAGGTCGCGATCCTAACGCGAGGGCCCGCGCTGGCCAGGAGGGTGGCCGCGGCGACGTCCAAACGCGCCCCGGGCGCAGCCCGGCGGAGTCCGGGTCTCTGGAGCCGGCGCCGCTAGGGGCCTCTGCCTCCCCGACCGCTGCGCGCCGAGGCTGCCGCCGCCTTCTCCGCGTCCCCTTTCCGCGGCTGCCCCCAGGAGGCGGCCGGTGACTCGCACACCGCGCGCGACCCGGGGCAGCCGCGCCCCCGGCGGCCGCCAAGTTGTTGGTGCGCGCGGGGCCGGGGCTGGCGGGCGGCGGGGCGGGGACCGGGGCTCGGGGGGCGGCAAGGCAGGGCCGAGGGGGACCGCCCTCCTTCCCCGGCCCTTCCCCTGCTCCTTCCCCGCCGCCCCTGCTCGCGGGAAAGACCGGGCTCGTCCGGGAAGACGGACGCCTCCTGCGGCCAACCGCGGCCAGCCCCGCTCCGGGCCGGGCAGCTGGAAACCCCTCCCGACCCCAGACAGGGAGAGGGTGGGGTGCGGGGTCTCTTTGCAGGGTCCAGTGGGAGAGTCTAGAGCTGGGCGTCTCCGCGACAGGAAAGGATGTGACTCGACGAGGTCGGACCCCGGTGGAAAGATGAGCAGTGAGTTGCAAATGACCGAGACCGAGGAAACCGGTGGCGACCCTGAGCTGAGAAGAGGCTCCGCGAGCTGGGGGCGGGACCAGTCACTGAGCTCTCGCTGGCTTTTTTTTCTCTTATGTTTTAAAAAAATTAACTGAACTCCGATTTCATTCGGATTTTACCAGCGTCCGGCAGGACAGCACGTCGCACTTGGCGCCCTTTACGCTTTTAACGCGCACCTTGGACGAGCTCTGCCACGTCCAGCCTCGCTTTGAACAGCACAATGAAGACTTCGCGTTGGCATCTTCCCATGGCTCGCAGGTTATTTTTGCTAAGTATGTTAAACCCATCTTCCCTAGCTGTTTTCGCACATTTAGCGCCTGGGACTTTCTAACCATTTCTCAAATATTATGGGCCTGATTTATCAGAATTATGCATCCAGAGGTGTGTTCAGTATCTAAATGCTTCCCCTCCAAGAGCTAAAGAAAGTTAGGACTTCGAGACTTCGGGTCATTCATTCACCTATCCAGTGATCAAGTTTCTGGTAGGAACTAGGGGCTGGGGAGATTAGGACCGTGTCGGGAAGGACCTTTCGATCTATTTTTGTATAAATAGATAATTGCAGGCGGTACACTAAGGTGGCCCGTGAGAGAAGACCCCTGGCCTCAAGAGGCCGGAGGCAGGAGCCGCAGACTGGGGGAGAGGTTTGGGGGTCAGAGCTGGTGGAGGAGTGGTGTTGGAGCAGATATACAGGATGAGTAAGAAGTAGCTGACTGCCTTGGGGACAGAGGGAGCATCATGGCCTGGGGTATCTCGAGTACAGTTACAAGATGTCCTCTGCCAGAATACCACCCTGGTAGAGGGTGAACAATAAATTAACACACACATCACTGATAGTGTACAGACATTGTTCTTAATTGCACAGATTTTTTAAAATTTAGTTTTTAGCAAATCTTTTTACTTTTTGACAATAGAAGGTAAAGTAAAAATGCCAAAAATTTCGGGTGGTGCCTGTGGCTCAAAGGATTAGGGCACCAGCCCCATATACCGGAGGTGGTGGGTTCAAACCCAGTCCTGGCCAAAAACTGCAAAAAAAAAAAAAGCTGAAAATTTTTAAGTTTTCTTCCGTCTCCCCACCCAGGAAGACATACTCTGGACCGATGGCTGCCCCAGTGGCACATGGAGCCGTCTTACCCACGAATGTGCGGTGAAGAAGCCAAAAGGTCTAAGGCAGAGACTGGAGGGGAAAGTCAGGGCCAGCTGGAGGAAGCCTCGTGTGTCATGCTGAGCTCTTGGTCATGGGTCTGCAGGCAGCAGGGAGCCTTTTAAGTAGGCAAATGTCATAATCAGACATTTGTTTCATAAAGATAACTGCTGGCAGCGTGGAAGGCTGGGTTAGCCATGAGCAACGAGAGAGACCAGAAGCAGGAGCTCACTTAGGTGATAATTGTAGGAGAACTATGGGATTCATTCAAATCTAAACGTGGCCCATGTGCACAGTGCCATTGGGATTTATTTCATATATGCATCTGAGAGGGCCACCTTGGTAGCAGAGATTGCAATTCCTAAAAATGAATTATTGCCTGACTCTAGACCTGAACCAGAATGGTGCAAGCAAGCCCCACAGGTGAATCCTAGCTCTGCTGCTTCCTGAGGCATCTGGAGAAAAATTGTGGCAGCTCTCTAGGCCTCGGTTTTCTCATCTGTAAAACGGGTTGATGCCTAGCTCCTGGGGCTCTTATAAGCACTTACTGCGATAATGTTTTGAAAAGGCTTACAAGCCATTGTACACAACTGGTGAGTGTTAGTTATCTTTGTTATCTGTCTTAATCTCCGATAGAAAGCTAATCTAAAAATAAGAATATCTTAATTATTTTTTATTTCATCGTGGTGTCCAGTAAACAGTCAATGAAAATGTGTTCAATGTTAATGCTTTAATATTAGTGAGAACCACCTTATTTTTGTTGATGATGGAGGACTCCCCGCAAGGTAAGCATTTTACACACATTGTCACAGGAACCCTGCAGGGGAGATACCTCGGTCCTCATTTTACAGATGAAAATCTGGAGGCTGAGAAAGTTCTGCAAAGTCTGGCCTCGCACTTCTGGCTGCCTCCAAGGCAGCTCCTCTTCCCAGTTTTCCAGTCTGCTTCCTGTGGACTTAGGATTCCTCAAACTTGTGAAGCAGGTTCAAGTACAATAAAGTGTATGACTGATTTCTGGTTTTCTCTTCCAGCCATTTGATGTAACTGACAAGTCAATTCTTATTTTCACAGTTTTCTTTTTTCTGATTGTCCCTTTCTTTCCCATATTTAAGAAACCACTTTCCCTTACAAAGGAGAATGCCTTGATTTTAAAATCAAAAAACCCCAAAGCCCCTCAAGTTCAGGAGACAGCCAGCCCTGGTCTAGTTCACTCACCAATAGCCTGTGACTTTGCACCCCCTGGTGGCAGCTGTGTGATTTTTTAAGCTGTTGGCATGAAACAGAAAACAGAGCTTGGCTTTAAAGCTGCTCCTGCCACGATCCGAACAAGTGTGGGCAATCTGGGTGCCTCGTGAGTAGGTCCCCTGTTACACGTGAATCCACTCTGCTAGCTAGCATTGTCCTTTTAAGGCACCCCCCACTCCAAGTTCCTACAATTGAAAGCTAATTTACCACCTGATTACCCGGGGAGTAAATCAGAGCATGCACCAGAGTCCTTGCAGGCACAAAATACATCCTTCACCTTTACTGCAGCGTCACTTTAGCCCAGTGTTTAAATCATTAAAAAAATTAGACACAGGCAGGGTGCAATACTTCAGTCTTAGCACTTTAGGGGGCTGAGGCAGCAGGACCACTGGAGACCAGGAGTTCAAGACCATCCAATGCAAACTGTCAAGACACCACATTGTGGTGTGATCTACCACGCCCAGCCTATTTTTGATACAAAAAATAGCAATTCAGCCCAATACGATAAGCCTCACACTCTGTGACTGGCGTAATCCAACAATAAAAACTAGATTTCTAATCCCAAAATGAAGTTCAGTTATACCCTTCCCAGATCTAGGGAAATCCCTTTCATTCATAGGGTGCATTAGCCCAGTGTAGTTTTCCTGGTAGTTAATCAAGAAATATTAATTATGGTTTTAAAAGAAACTTGGCTCATAGTTTGACAGCAGCTTGTCCAAATGGCCTATATAAATATCCATTTTTCTCTTTTGGCAGCAGAGTAGTAAAGACAAGCTGTCAGGTGGTCTTGCCAGTTTCATTCTGAGGCATTCTTCCTGGCAGCGAAGAGGACAGAATGAGACAATAAAGGTTGTTCCATGAAGCCCAGAAGAGGGGTTTCTGGGAGGCTGAGAGAGAAAGAAGCAAAGAGACGGAGCTCAAGGGGGGTGAAAAGGCAGCAGGGAGCAAGGAAATGCATGCGCGTAAAACGCTCAGTGGTGCAGTGTAGCTGCCCCCAAAGTCTTTTCTCTGATTTTCAAGGAAACTGTTTAAAGCCAAAATAAATCAGGGCTTTAAGCTCTTTAATTTTCTTTCAATAAAGTTGCTTCATAATATTTTTAGCCATCTTCTCAAAATCACCTGTTTCCCTTTTGCACAAATCATTATTAGAGCGGGATTTGCTTTGTTTAATTTCACGTTCATAACTTCTCAGCACCCACACGTCACAGCCTTCCCATCAGAGCTGCTATTTTCTGCTGCTGAAATCCTACTACAACTTCCCATGTGGCTGCTGCACAATATAAGCAGAATATGAATATTCAATGAACCCATCCTGACAAAAGTATTAAATCCCGTCACTTATAAAAAATAATAATAATAAAAAGATTGTATTATTCCTCTGAGGAAAACAGCCAACGTTAGGCGTGGAATGGCAGCTGTAATTCAATTGTCAGAATCCGAGATGGATCGGTATATA